GAGGGAGGGGGAGAGAAGAGAGGGGAGAGAGAGTGAGAGATGGGGAGGAGAGAGAGGAGAGCGAGAGGGAGCGAGTGAAGAAGAGATGAGACGCGGACAGAGAAAGAACAAGGACGCAGGGCAGAGAGAGAGAGAGAGAAGAAGAGAAGAAGAGAGAGAGAGAGAGAAGCGAGAGATACAGATAGAATCTCGGGCAGGCAGAGCATGAGAGAAGGAAGAGAGGAGGGAATGAGAGAAGAGAGAGAGAGATGCGAGAGACGAGAGATGAAGAGAGAGAGGAGAGAGAAGAGAGGGAAGAGGAGAGAGAGAGAGGAGCGGGCGAGGAGGAAATAGAGAGAACCGAGTACTGCAATAAAATTGCTTCGACGTGTACTAACACGGATACCTGGTGTCCGTAGTCGTTGCTACAGATACTGCAGTACGTTGCTTCCGAAGCTTGATTGCCTCGATCTGGCAGAACGATTTGCAAGACCGCATCTATTTCCATCGGTCAGGTTAATAATCTCCGGGAATTTTTATTACTATCTTCATGATTACACTCGTAGTCAAGTGGGTGTACAGGGGCTGCACGCGCGACAGGGGTTGTATCAACATATAAGCGAGAACATCTCATAGAACGCCTCATAGCCAATGTACGGAGCTTGTTTTCTTCATTAAGCACGCGATATGGATTCTAATCAGAAGGTAGATGAATCAAGGGACTATTTCCTATACTAATTTATACTAATAATTTCCCTATTATTATATTATTCCCTATTAATTCCCCCACTATTATACTAATAATTCACTATTATCTACTTCTGATCTAATATCACTCTAAGGCTAGGAGTAGGAGTAGGAAAGCAGATATAATACAAACCATCAGATGGAAACATATGGCGAGTAACGATATACCACACGGCGTGTTATGCTACAGCTATTAAGCGAATGGCTATACAGTAGAGGGTCTATGTCCCCCAAGTGTACTCGCGGAACGTACCCTGGGTCCGGTCCCGTATGACCGGGAACGTTACCCTGGTAACTATCTTGATATGCCCGGACCGTACCTCGCCTACTCACTAACGGTCTATGGGAGTCGCCTTCTCCCTACCTAGACCCTAACGCAGACCTACCCTACTCTTAAACCTAACCCTAATGCCTAACGCCTAACCCATATCAAATAGTGCCTTAGGCGTACAGTTCCCGGTATACGAATGGGGTTCGACGCGTACCCAGGGGCGTTCCGGCCAGTACCTGGGGAATCTAGACCTATGAGCGTAGCCACGTCAACTGCCAGATGCGAGTAGAATGGAAGTTAGAGCCTGGGTGTTTTTACAGGGTTTAACAGAGAATGGCGTTTTGATCAGAGATGGATGACGGGGGTTGTATCCAACGTGGGGATGGCACGCGAGAAATCGGCAGAAATATTTCGTAGAACGCCACAGGGAGGCATCTCTATACATATATACATCTATGCATCTATACATCTACACATCTGCACATCCATACATCTATGCATCTATACATCTGGGAGAAAATCTCATACAAGAGCAGGAGAGAGACGAGGAGAGACAGGAGAGCGAGAGAAGAGACCAGAGATAAGAGAGAGACAGCGACAGAGAACAGAGATTGAGGTAGAGAGAGGGGAGAGAGCCTAGGGAACAGAGCAGAGAGGACAGAGAGATAGGCGAGAGAGGCAGGTAGCGCGTGAGACGAGAGAGAGAGGCGGGAGAGACGAGGAGAAAGGAGGGGAGGGAGGAGAGAGATACAGAATATACAAGATTTATAAAAACAACGGGAGGGGTGGAGTTTCTTACAGTTCTTCTATGCGACTTCTGTACTGTTGTGTTTTAGTGCGTTCGCGTCTACAAAACTACCTAATCTCTTTATTATAAGGCAAGCCTGTTTTGTTGTGTCTGTCGTCTGACTATTTTTTCCACCCCGTAAGGCTCACCCCACACACGAATATTTCGTTAATGCAGCATGTCGCGATGCCTAAGGCAAGGTCAAATAACATAAAATACACAAAATAAAAAGTTTAAAATCTTACAATTAAATTATTTATTATTCTAAGGAAAATGTCGCGCGAGGTGGCCGCTATATTCCGTCACATGCTCATTCTATCACTAAATGCTATGTTGAATTTGCATTTTGACGCTCATTTTTCTAGCTGTATGATTGTCGACTATTTGGTTAGTTCTATATAAACAATTCTAGCTTCGAAGGAGAGACCAAACGTGTCCGTACTGACGACTGGCTGAAAGGCTTATAAATGCCTCAACTTGCTGCTTATTTTTTGGCAGTGGCTGGAGCGTACGGCCAGTCGTATCTTAATGTTCGAGCTACGGCTACGGCCAAGTCCATCGCTTCATGACGTAAACCGAGACTAAAGATGGCGAGCGGTCGCGCCAGATTTCGAAAACCGCCTTGGGAATTAAATTCACGATTTGAGAGGTTTAGAGGCAGCAAGAACCCTAACCTAAGACCCTAAACCTAACCCAACCATAACCCAAACCTAACCCTAACCCTTAATCCTAACCCTAACCCATAACGCAAAAAAGCGGGCTGAACGAACCGACGGGCTGGCGTGTACTCCAGCCACTCGTATTTGTTTTCGACAGGCACTGGGTACTTCGTATTTTCGAGTTTTTCCGTAATTATCTCTACAATAAATCGCGGATTCTATCTGTCGCTCGTCTCTTTAGATGACCAGTAAAGAGGTCAACCCGTCGGCGTATTATTCTCAATCACCATCGATGGCGACGGGACCATTTTAAGCCAAAAACGATATTTGCACAAAAGACGCCAATTAAGCGGCAAAAACAACAACATGAGTTCAGTGGGCTTATAGTCAGGCAGGCTTATGCACGTAAGAGAGCCAAATCTGCAAATTAAAGACATCTTAGGGTCAAATCTGGGTTCATCTATGTCGCTCAAACTAAGAATTTTTTAAGAGCCCAAAAATTTGGACCCGGGGAAACCCCCCCCCACCTATGGGCCCGGTAAGGGACCCGAAACTCCTATTTGCCCCATGATATTTGCCGCTTCTTTTGCCGTCGATTTCGGCAAAGTTTAGAGTCGATTTGGTTTTAAATCAAGGAATCGATTGGGCGTGGTTTGGACCTAATTCTGTCATAGGTCTACGAGATATCGTTCTTCGGGTTCACCTCGCGAGCCCGAACGAATTGGTTTTCACATATCCTGCGCCTATTTTTCTCAAAAAGTTTTAATTTTGGGGTTGAGGTCAATGGATTATAGAGACTACCATGATACCTTTCAAGACTCCTGGAAATTCTGTTTCTCACCTGGTAGTAGTACACGTAGTCAAATCGACAAACTGACAGTCCAGCAATCGATCTCGGTTACTGTTACAGTCACAGCCCCACACTCGACTGCATATCATCCTTACATGTTCAATTAGAGTTGTGGGGTGCACTTCCTGGTGAAAGTGCAGAAGAAAGCGCACATGAATATGTTCTTAGCTTCATTGCATACCGGACACTTGACGGTTCGGCCAGCGGCACAAATGCCAGTCACAGATCTCGAGGTTTGGTCATTGCTGCGTTCCGTGGTCCATTGTGTATGGAGCTTGGTTCTGATAAAGTTTCATCCCACGTACATGTCAAGAGGAGGGCTGAAGTACTGCAGTGAGGGTGTTGACCCATAAATGCATAAGGCCAATATGCATTCTCTAAGATACCCTGTGACCAAGCACAAGAACACAAACAACAAGTAAATAAAATCAACGTCCGCGTAACATTGATCTGCGTAAATCGCCAGAGGACAAAGAATTTCTTCGTAAGCTTGAACTCTGCCTGCCAGAAATTCCCATTATTTCTGCAACTAGAGGGGTTACATTAGCTAAGGTCCACAGGCAGATCACCCCTTTCTTATTATCCGAAAGTTCATATCAGACTGATCGAAGATTCACCAGCTAAAAATATTTTGAATCGAATCACATTTACCTCAGAATTGTTGGAAAGACGATGAATTCCTCCTGATATCTTCCACGAGGTCATTGTGGATGATGACAGGAAAGGGTGTTTCACAATTGGACGTGCAACAGTATGACGATTTCGTCGCCCCACTAGATTTCGTCTATGGAAGTGAAGATATTATCAAATTGCAAAAGGCTACAGAAACATGCTGAAGCCTTCCAAGCAGTGGCCGAGGGGGATGTCGGCATTTTTAGAACCCTCGCCAGTCAGGTCACCCAGCAACTGCTTCAACAGATTGAGAAGAGTGTTGGCCGGGAAAACCGTCGAATCGAGACAAAGAAACTTTTTGAGGGGGAGATACACCGATTACCTCGAAGGCTTCATCAAAATAAGGATGGCATTCTCCTGGTATCACCAGTTCTCAAAAGTCACGCAGATTTTGGCTTGACATCGCCGACAACCCGGTTTACACCAAGTCGAAACATAATGTTCAAAGGTCTCGTTTCGTTGACCTTTTCAGTGATCAATCCGGAGCGCAGCTGAAGTCCTCTCCAGAGGTCAAGCCTTCTAATAAATTTCAGCATGTCTTCCAGGCCCCTGCAAGAGCTATCTGAGAACATGCCACACGCTCGGCGCATCTCGAATCGATATTGTAGCAGCCAGTATAACCAGTTAAGCCATCAAGAGCCCCAACGCGGACGTACGGAAAGGCAAGTTCAAAGATTCAGCGACAGCAAGTTAACTTTATGGTGGATAGCACTGCTCGCGGAGAGGAACTGTCTAAAGCCTTTCTACAGATGATCAGAACAAAACCAGACTTAATGCACTGAATGTGGAAAGCTGTGGTAACCCATCCTCCTGGTTCCTGGACGAACAGATTCTCGTGTGTCACTAATGGTTTGGAAAATGTCCTCAACAACATGCTGGTGAAAGGACATATTACATGCCAAAGATGGAACACCTAGAAGCAGGGCGGACAACGGATTGGGTGTGCATATAATTTGACATGTTGGCATGTGGTTTATCGCGGATGACTGTACGGACAGTCTGATTTCAGGCGTCATTGTCATTCTTTCTCGGCCTTTATGCCCCAGTGTCCTCAAGATCGAACTGACTTTTGAGCTTCATGGTTGCATTTAACTCTGGAAAAGAACAGAAGAACTGTCATAGTCGATGTTTTGTTAATGAGTCATAGGGAAGGACGTCTGCTAGCCTTGGCCATTCGTTCCACTGCCGCTTCACTGGCGGCCGATTCTAACTGAATCTTTTACAAGCTGGACCCAAGAGATGGTGGTTTTTCTCAATGGGAATAAGTGCTCAGATGATGCCTGCAGAACAGTTAAACAACTAGCTGTACCGCAGGCAGAACAAGTGATTCAGCACAGACAAGAATACTTGTGGATTTGTGTGTGCTATGTTCTCAAGAGGGCTGTGTACCAAGTCTCAGTGACGTCGGTTCTCAGCATGTTCCAGGCCCAGGATTCTTAGATGGAGTTAAGGGACCGATCCCACCTTTGTGTTGGATCTTCAAGACTGCGGTACGTCGCCAGCGCCCTATACCGACAGATGGGTGTGGGTAACACCTACACTCAATCCCCAGCCTCCTCTTAAATGTGTGGATGGAAACTCTATCCAGAATCCAACTTCACATTCAATAGGACCCACGGACGCAGCAAGAGCCTAAACTCGAGTCGCCTGACTCTAGTGCGCTAGCATCGCAAAGTGCGCTAATAACAAGTGGCAGTGTGCCTTTCTTTCTGCACTTGCACCAGGAAGTGCACAAAGTCGCTAATTGAAGCTGTACAGGATGATTATGCAGTCAGTGGTGGCGTGGTACTGTAACACTGACGCGAGGAACGATTGCGGACCTGTCAGTCTGTCAGCATTTTGCACTACGTCGTATACTCCAGGTGAAACCAAATTCTCAGATCTGAAAGGCTATCATGTGTTATCTAAAAATCCATTGACTCAAACCCAAAATTAAAAACTTTTTGAGAAAATAGCTGAGATATGTGAACTACCCATTGTTCGGCTCGCGAGGCTGAACCCGAAGGCACGATATCTCGTGACCTATTGACGAATTTCAGGTTCACACTAATTTGCGCAATCGACTTCCTTGATGTTTTTTTTTTTTTTTTTTTTTTTTTTTTTTTTTTTAAACCCCAAAATCGACTCTAATTTGTTGCAATATCGCGCACCAAACGAAGGGGCAAGATATCGGCAAAATAACAGTTTCGGGTCCCTTACCGGGCCACATAGAGCGGGGGGGGGGGGTTTCTCGGGTCGTCAAATTTTTGGGCTCTCAAAAAAATTCTTAGTTGAGGAACATATGACCCAGATTTGATTACCTCAAAATGTCTTTCATATTTGCAGAAAATGTTGCATAAGCCGTCGACTAATTTCCGGCAGCCGGCGTATATCTGACGGCCTCCGGGCAGCGGTCTTCGGATTTCTAAATGCCCTAGGCAGTTTTTAATTATTAGGTTATTCAAGTAAACAAGGGTTAGGGTTGAGTTAGTAGGGTCTAGCGTTTAGCGCGCTGAGTTAGGGTTCTTTTGTTAGGTTCAGGGTTAAGAACTGTCGGGCATTTAGGAAACGAGACCCGTCCGGCTGCCGCCCGGGCATATACCCAGCGAAAAAACAACAAAAGATTTCGGTCAAAGTCGGTTACACACCCATGGTCGGTCAGTTTGGTTAGGGTTAGGGTTAGGGGGTTTTTAAACCGTAGGGGATTGTCAAATAGGATTTGGCCTAGGATTTCCCCTCCCAAAAATACAGCGGCACAGAAAAGGTTTACCCACTAACAGAATCCTAGCCGCCTTCGGACCTATAACACTGCCCACGCAGGAAAAGTCAAGACGAATCCTCAGAAAGCCAGAACGCGCTCCTAACTATTGTCAGGCTCGAAAATAGGCAATCCGCTGAAATGCCGAAAACGCTAAGCAATAGCCCACAAAACGCGATGAAAATAGCAGAGAAAGCAGTAACCCCCGCAAAAACCCGGCATGCGCCGGTAGGCCCAGCTAAACGCATGAAATAGCAGAAAAGCAGATAACCCAAAAAATCCCGGGCATCGCCGGGTAGCCCAGCTAGTACCATAATAGAGTTAATTATTACCTCCCCGCACGGAAGGTCCATTAATCGGTCTCGTGTAGTGTGTGTGTGTAGCCATGGCCGATCGATAGCGCGTTCGAGTCAGCGAGTGGCGATGTCAGCCAGCACGCACCAGTGAGCGGCGGAGTCACGCAGCAGGCCGAGTCAGGTAGCAGCCGCCACCAGCGAGCACAATACATGTTTACATGCTCGCGGAGTGTATGCACTCCTTCGTGAGTGCCCTCTGTCTAGTTAGCTATTGATTTACACCGGGTGATGGGTGGAGGTGTGAGGTAGTATAGGGCGTATATATACTGAGACGCACAAGCACTTTGGAACGTTTCAATAACAAATGATGTAGATAACACGAAATGTTATTACTACCAAGTTCTAATGTTTCTCCCTCTCTTTCGCTATTATTATGTTAATCAGTTTCCTGTAAATTCCGTTCAAATTCTCGCCTGCAACACACAATTTCATCGCACGCACGCCAATGTGCAAAAACAACAGAAATATAGAGGATATCTCTACCTTTCCGTTGTTTGTGCACAGCGGCATACGTGCGGTGGGATTGTGTTGAATAGCAAAAGAGCAGTTGAACGGAATTTACGTGGAATTGTTAGTCAATAGAGAACACACAAACATTGAGACTTTGGTAGTTCGTGTTTATGACCATCATTTTATGATGGTAAAACGTAGAATGGTGAAACGTTCACATTGCCTGTGCTGAGATCAGTATCAATGCGGCATCAAGAGATAACTCAATAAGATCAATAGAATCAATATCAAAAATCAAAGATCAAAAATTAAAGATCAATAAAATTAATATCAGAAATCAAAAATTATAGATCAATAAAATCAATATCAAAAATCAAAGATCAATAAGATCAAGAGATAATGATAGCTTGAAGTTGTAATGGGGTGTAATCAGTGTTATATGCTATTAGTTGTTGATTGTGATATGCAGGGTGATGATGCTCGATTAGAAGGCCGCGAGTATATAATTATGTTCCGTAATTCGATGTGTCATTGTTTGGTTATTACGTGTGATTACGATGTCGTACTGCCGTAAATATATTGTTCGAGTGTGGAGAGAGAGGTAGGGGAGATGGGAGACGACAGTGAGTAGGGGCGGAGACGAGAGAGAGAGAGAGAGGAGGGAGAGAGAGACGAGGCGAGAGGAGAGAGAGAGTACGTGACCAGAGGGAAGAGAGAGAGAGAGAGAGAGAGAGAGGAGCGAGAAAGAGAGAGAGAAAGAAAGAAAGAAAGAAAGAGAGAGAGAGAGAGAGAGAAAGAAGAAAGAAGAAAGAGAGAGAGGAGAGAGAAAGCTAAAAAACAGAAAAGAAAGAGAGAGAGAGAGCTCTGCTGCTGCTCTACTACTACTGATTCTGCAGCTAGCTATTACTTGCTGACTGCTGCTACGCTGCTACTACTTGCTGCACTTTTCGCTACTGCTCCTACCGCTAGCTGCTGAGTTGCTGCTGGTGGTGGTGATACTGCTGCTGCTACTGCTGTTACTGCTGCCTACATGCTACTGACTGCTACTGCGGCTCGTTGCTGGCGCCGCTGCTGCTGTTACTACTGTCCCCCTCCCTCTCCCCCTCTCTCTCCCCCTCTCTTACCCTTCCAGACATCCTAATCGCCAACAGCTGCATCCTATAATCTATATAGGTATCACAGATATCGTCTGGCTGGCTGGCTGGCTGGCTGGCGGGCTTCCTAACTAACGGGCTGGCTCACTGAAGCCATTATCGAAATTTGCATCTTTTCATCGTTAGCATGAAGTTTAGACGTGTACTAATAATTAACCATCCCCATGGAAACCTTACACACGCGCGGAGGACGTATTATCAGTGCTTTTCTCCTCCATAGTTGCTTGATTTCACTTGATTGGCAGCTCGCTTGATTTCACGCGAGAATATGAAATCGCGCAGGAACGCGTTAATTTGCGAAAATTCATTTTGAGCTTGAAAATGATATGATGATGTGATGTGAGCTTATAATTTTTGCTAAATTGAATTAATTCGATAATTTGATTGGCTAATTAGGTAATTAAACGTGATCTCGTCAGTAACTAATGTAGACACGGGATATGTGAATGGTTCAGTTAACAAACTAAAGAAGCGAGAAATAACCATCGAGAGTGAGAAAGACTAGAATGTATTCGTGAGTAATTACGGGCACACGCACGCACGCACGCAGTCACACGCATACGCACGCGCACGCACACGCGCACGCACATGCACACAAATATATAATCACAACAAACGAAGGGCTACAGTTATGTAACCCTTCTTCCCTTAGTTTCCATACATCTACTCACAGCGATTTCAGACAGCCTAGATATTATACTCTCAACCAAAGTCCAACCGCAGCGAGCCAAATACGCATCCAAATTCTTCCGCGTAAACTTCTCCCCGTAACTCACAGTAACTGCTTTGCGGAGCGCTAGATGGCAGCACGTACCTTGCAGGCTGTGACCCTGGCCGGAGAAGGCTACGGGGGCAACAGCGGCGGCGTGGTGGTGGTGGCTGCTGCCTGGATGGTTGAAGGGAACAGTGAACACGGACGGATCGTGCTGCACGTTATGTGCGCTCGTCTTCAACGCCGCTGCTATCTCATCTGAAACAACACAGACATCGTATGCTGAATCTCATTCCTGTAACAGGACAGCTATGATGCTATCTCATCTGTAACAAACACAGACATGGATAGCTATTTCATCTGTAACAGCACATACACAACGCCGCTGCCTATCTCATCTCAACAACACATACATTTGATGCTATCTCACCTGTAACAGCACAGACATGACTGCTATCTCATCTGTAAACAGCACAGACATGCATGCTATCTCATCACTGCAACAACTCAGACATGCAATGCTATCTCAGCTGCAACAACACAACATATGCTATCCATCTGTAACAACACAGACATGATGCTATCTCATCTGCAACAAACCACAGAATTGATGCATATTCTCATCTGCAACAACACAGACATGATGCTATCTCATCTGTAAACAGCACAGACATGATGCTATTATCTCTAACAACACAGACACACGCCGTTGCTATCTCCATCCGCAACAACACAGACAGGCATGTCCGGCTCATTCTCACTCCTCCCACCCTGTCACCACAGCACAGCGACATGATGCCTATCTTCCATCTTCTAACAACACAGAACATTGATGCTATCTCATCTCTAACAACACAGACTACACACCGCCTGCCTGCTTATTCCTCATTGAGTAACAACACAGGCCCATGATGCTATCTCCATCTGTAACAGCACAGACTGATGCTATCTCATCTCTAAACAACCGTTCATCTCTCGCACTCACTCCTCTCTCTCTCTCTCTCTCCTCTCTCTCTCTCTCTCTCCTCTCTCTCTCTCTCTCCCTCTCTCTATCTCTCTCTCTCCTCTCTCTCTCTTCTCTCTCTCTCTCTCTCTCTCTTTCTCGCATTAGATGACCGTCAGTGTTTTGCGTTAGAATTTTAGGCAGCATAAACATTACATTAATATCACAAACAAAGAAATCATTTAAACTAAATACAATTCGTATTTATTTACGAATATTTTTCTTATTACTGAGAGGGGCCAAGTGTCTGTGTGATGCAATCCAACCCTTCACTCTGCAGCAAGGAACTGCCGCAGCATCTCAAAATCGAACTTCTTTCCACCTGGATAAACAGTTTCGCGATTTCGGTGACAAATTATTTTCGAAAGATTCTCGCCCGGAAATCCGCTTATATCGATTGCGTCTCTTCTTGCGAAAAACTATCAGTAAGCCATTCGTTCGCGTTGCAAAGTGAAGGCATTTATCGGCCTCTATATTCGACGTCGATAGAGCTAACTACAGACGGACTGATCAGCGTGAGAGAGTGAACGTGATGCTCTCGTAATAAACGGCTTCTCTCTATCTCTCTCTCTCTCTCTCTTTCTCTATCTCTCTATTTCTCTCTCTCTCTCTCTCTCTCTCTCTCTCTCTTTCTCTCTCTCTTCTCGTCTCTCTTTCTTAATCTCTCTATTCCTCTCTCTCTCTCTCTCTCTCTCTCTCTCTCTCTCTCTCTCTCTTTCTCGCTCTTTCTCTGTCACTCCGCTTCTCTCTCTCTCTGTCGCTCCGCCTCTCTCTCTCTCTCTCTCTCTCTCTCTCTCTCTCTCTCGCCTCTCTCTCTCTCTTCTCTATCGCGCTCTCTCTTTTTCTCTCTCTCTCTCTCTCTCTCTTTCTCTCCTCTCTCTCTCTCTCCTATCGCGCTCTCTCTCTCTCTCTCTCTCTCTCTCCTCGCTCTCTCTCTCTCTCTCTATCGGCCGGCTCTTCTCTCTCTCTCTCTCTTCTCTCTCTCTCTCTCTCTCTCTCTCTCTCTCCTCGCCTCTCTCTTTCTATCTCTCTCTCCTCACGCGGTGTGTGTCTCTCTCTCTCTCTCTCTCTCTCTCTCGCCGTCTCTCTTTCTCCCTCTCTCTCTCCTCTCTCTCTATCACTCTCACCCCTTCTCTCTCTCTCTTTCTCCTATCTCTCTATTTCTCTCTCTCTCTCTCTCGCTTTCGCTATCTCGCTCTCTCTCTTCTCTCTCTCTCTCTCTCTCTCTCTCTCTATCTATCTGTCTCTCGCTCTCTCTTTCTATCTCACTCTCTCTCTATCTATCTCTATCTCTCTCGCTCTCGCTATCTCTCTTTCTCTTTCGCGTGCACGCAGTCTCTCTCTCCCCCGCTCGCTCTCTCTTCCTTCTATGAATCTCTTGCTCTCTCTCTTCTCTCTCTCTCTCTGCTCCTCTCCTCTCTCTCTCTCTCTCTCTCTTTGCTCTCCTCTCTCTCCCCTCTCTATCACCCTCCTCTCTCTCTCACTTTTCTCTCTCTCTCTCTCTCCTTCCGTCTCTCTTCGCTCTCTCTCTCACTCTCCCTCGGCACCTCGCTCTCCTTATCTATCTCTCCTCTCTCTCTCCTGTCTCTTTCTGCTTCTCTCTCTTCTCTCTTCTCTATCTCTTCCCCCTCTTCTCTTCCCCTCGCCCCCCCCCAATCCCTCTCTCACGCACCCTCCCTCCGCCCCCTCCCCGCTCACTCACCTCCCCTCCCACCTTTCCCTCCGTCTCTCTCTCTCGAACGGGTGATTTTGCATGACTGGCGGCAGAAGCAATCGTCTGCACCGAGGCGGGTTACACAGTAACGTCGCGCGGAAAAGCCCGCGGAAAATCGAGAGAAGATCATTTAGAATCGTCCGTCGATCAGCGAAGCGGAAAATGTATAAAAGTATTAGTAAAGTGATTACGTTATAATGCACATCATCTCAAAGAAAACATGACATTTTGTTGACGTTTCACGTTGAAAAGTTTGAGGAAATACGTGTCGCACATGCTTGAGAAACGCGACGGAAAAACGCGAGGCGGGAAGCAAATAAAGCCGAGCATCGATTCCATGCGCGTGCGTGCGCGCGTAAAACTGTCGGTTTAATAACCGTCTAATCTGTTTAATAACTGTTTAATAAAACTCTCGTATTTTTTATCGTTCACTCGTTATTCTAGATTTCTACAACAATACACATTATATTGTTAGAAGGTGTTCAACAATACACACTGTATTGCTGAAAGTGTATTGTTAGTTACCAGGATTATCTGGTTATTCTATATGTCTGTACTATGTTATTTATACTGTCTGGGTATGTTATTCTATATGTCTGTAGATGTTATTCTATATGTCTGTATATGTTATTCTATATGTCTGTATATGTTATTCCTATATGTCTGTAGATGTTTCTATATGTCTGTGTATGTTATTCTATATGTCCTGTATATGTTGGTCTATATCGTCTGTATATTGTTATGTCTATATGTCTGTATATGTTTATTTCTATATGTTCTGTAGATGTTATTCTATATGTCTGTGTATGTTATTCTATATGTCTGTATATGTTGTTCTATATGATCTGTATATGTTATTCTATTATCGTCTGTATATAGTTATTCTATATGTCCTGTATATGTTAATTACTATATGTCTGTATATGTTATTCTCTATAATGTCTGTATATGGTTGTTCTATATGTCTGTATATGTTATTCTATGATGTCTGTATATGTTATTCTATATGTCTTGTAGATGTTATTTTATATGTTGTATATGTTTATTCTATATGTCCTGTATATGTTATTCTATATGTCTTGTATATTTGTTAATTCTAATATGTCTGTATATGTTATTCTAGTATGTCTTATATTGGTTATTCTATATGTCTGTATATGTTATCTATTTGTCTGTGTATGTTAATCTATATGTCTGTACTATGTTATTTCTATATGTCTTGTATATGCTTGATTCTATATGTCCTGTATAGTTATTCTATATGTGGTTTGCTATATTGATTATTCCTATTAGGTTCTGTATATGTTATTCATATGTCTGTATTATGTTCATTCTAATATGGGTTCTGTATATGTTATTCTAATATGTCTGATATATTGTTATTCTATACTGTCGGTATATTTATTCTATATGTCTGTTATCGTTCTATTCTATATGTCTGTAATATGTTATTCTATATGTCTGTAATATGTTATTCATATATGTTGTGTATAGGTTATTTAAATGTCTGTATATGTTATTCTACTATGTCTCGTATATTGTTATTCTATATGTCGTATATGTTATTCTATTATGTCTTGATAATATGTTATTCTATAGTGTCTGTATATGTTTATTCTATATGTCTGCTATATGTTTATTCTATATGTCTTGTATCTGCGGTTATCCCTATTATGTCTGTATATGGTTATTCTATATGTGATGTATATGGTATTCTACTATGTCTGTATATTGTTAATTCTTATATCTGTATATGTTATTCTATATGTCTGTATATGTTATTCTATATGTCTGTATATGTTATTCTATGATGTCTGTATTATTTATTCATATGTCTGTATTTATTGTTTTCTATTTATGTCTGTATATGTTATTCTATATGTCTGTATATGTTATTCTATATGTCTGTATATGTTATTCTAATATGTCTGTACCTATTGTTATTCTATATGTCTGTCATTCTGGTTATTCATATTATGTCATGTAGTATGTTACTTCTATATAGTCTGATATATGTATATTCTATATGGTCTGTTATAGTATATTCTATATGTCTGTATAGGTTATTCTATATGTCTTGTATTATTTATTCTATCATGTCTGTATATGTTATTCTATCATGTTCATTTACTATGATTATTCTATATGTCTGTATATGTATTCTATATGTCTGTATCTTGTTATTCTATTATGTCTGTATATGTTATAGTCTATATGTCCTGTATATGTTTATTCTACTATGTCTGTATATGTTATTCTATACTGTCTGTATATGTTTTCTATATGTCTGTATATGTTATCTATATGTGTGTATTATGTTAATCTATGATGTCTTGTATATGTTATTCTATATGTTCTGTATATGTTATTCTATATGTCTGATAATATGTTATTCTATATGTCTGTATTCTGGTTATTCTATATTCGTATATGTTATTCTATATGTCTGTATATGTTATTCTATATGTCTGTATTATGTTATTCTATATGTCTGTATATGTTTCTATATGTCTGTATCTGGTTTCTATATGTTGTATATGTTATTTCTATATGTCTGTATATGTTATTCTATATGTCTGTATCTGTTATTCTATGAGTCTGTATATGTTATTCTATACCTGTCTGCCTACTTCTTGTTATTCTATAATGTCTGTATTGTATATTTAGATGTCTGTATATGTTATTCTATATGTCTGTATATGTTTTCTAATATGGTCTGTATAGTGTTATTCTAATGTTCTGTATATGTTATTCTATATGTCTGTATATGTTATTCTATATGTCTTGTATAATGTTATTCTATATGTCTGTATATGTCTATTCTATACTGTCTGTATTGTTATCTATATTCGTGTATATGTTATTCTATAGTCTGTGTATTCAATGGAGGCTGTCTGTGAGAGGGAGGCTTACGAGCTTATCGAGCGGTGCTGAACACTTTCTCCTCATCT